TGACATGCTTAGGCACGATAATTCAATTACATAGTGTATATCTACGTTTGTATCATTAATAAGAATCTCATATAAATATCACACAAATATAATCAGCGCATTAGCTCACATAAGTGTGGAACGCTATACAGATTATAATATACGTGCATACGTCATGCGAAAGCACAGTCGCTTCAATATCTCATAGAAGACTCATAAAAATACCACATATTGATATATCTGTTCAGACATGCATAGTATACTATGATACTATATATTATACTAATTCTAGACAGTTGCATATAAAATTTTTTTTAATATATGGACAGAATCCGTATAAATATCTGTGTATATACGTAAATCTGTACCGTATAGAATATCTCTTATAAGTTCGTTATCCAATATCCGACTTGTCCTCGCCATGCATGCATACAGGCCTTCCTCTAATACTCCCTATCCTTAGCTTTGTTGGTCACGTAACTTGATTATTTGGGTCGCCCCCCCCCAGTGTTTCTAGACCACCGACTCGAAATTGGCAAGTCAATGTAATCCAACTTATAATTCCTGAAATCCTCCAGTTGTTTCTCAGGCAATCCACAGCTGGAACAACCTCTCATGGCCTCGAACAAGACATAATTCAAGTTTCCTAATCCAGTCTACAGTAGAATTTTTGGGCTGTGCGCGTCATCTCAGAAAAGTACTTTGCTTGCTTGTCTTTCCGTTGCCTGACCGTCATGTTTTTGTTCTCTACTTCTCGTAAATGATAGAGAGCTGGACGGTGCAATCGAACAGTCATTTCTTCGCGTGCAGTAGCCGACTATGGAGCAATGATGTTTTAATACAATCAAAGCTGGCCATGCCGCGTTCCTTCGTCGGCAAGTTTCCCCATCTACCGAGTTCAGGAGACCCATCTGACCAACGAGAGGTACATAACTTATAATTCCATACACATATACATGTAATATGGCATTTACTTGTTCAATCTGATCTAGGCATATGAACTATGGTTTGTATTTAATACCAAGCAAGAAAAGCATTTTTGTAAAAAACCAAATCGCGACCTACCTTCTTTGACCGATTGCACGAAGACCGGGTTCTCACCACTGACCGTCAATCCATATCCGCCCTGGTCCTTGTTGATGATCACGCAGCGCTGCACCATGTCTTTGTCGATGCAGTCGTCTACAACAGAAAGAACGGTAAATCATTCGTTCACAGCAAAAACAACTAACAACGACGGAGAACATCGCCAATGTGTAAAGGCTCTCTGCTTGACAAGCGACGAGATCATCGAGGACGAGCGGAGGCAAACAAGGCACGCGAAGAGGAGACATGTAACCAAACGAAAATGATTCGATAGATCAACACACAACTCCGCCATTAAATCATGTACATGAGGCGGCGAATTAAGGCGGCAAACGAAAGGCACTTCAAAAATGGTGATTAACAGAGACAAATGAGGGAAAAAGATGACGACCATTTGTGACTTGAGCGAATTGCCCGAGACGACGACAGAAGACTATCTACAGCGGATTCCAGTAAAGCAAACGAACGCGGAGGACCCCAGATGGCAACAGCAAACTCAGGCTAAATCTCGCCTCACATAAAATGCATAAAGGGCTTGAAGCAAGCTATGACTAAACACGACATCGACAAAATATGTCGACATATATTTTAGTAACATATGGCATGGAAAACGGGAAAATGTGAAAAGCCTAAAGATATTACACATTACGATTTCGACTGGTACTACAACCACGGTTATGCAGTCCAACGGAGTCTTCGCCATAGCTACTACACTTTGACAGACACGTTAAGCCATAACATGCGCTATTCGCCTAAAGTTCCAACCATTTCAGGGTAGATTTCATCGATTCCAGCGGCCTTTCAAGTTTTTAACCTTTTATAGATTCTGTGAATTCATCATAATGTTTCCCATGTGATTTTCCGCTAGCATCTGCCGCCAGATTTCGCATAGTACTTAATCGTTTGCGACGGAGAGTAATAACAACAAAGTGATGATCGGTTGACAGCTCCACCCCTCTCTAAAGAGAACATGATTAGTCGTACTATATGATTATCAAATCGATCATAGACTTCCGTGCACAAGGTTCCTTATACTACGTATGCTGATGCACGTTTCGATGCTCGAACAGTATTAATAACAGATAGTTCGTATTTTGCACAGAACTGCAACTTCATGCCCTTACTCCTAAGGTCGCCACGGCCGTTCTATGGAATCAGGCCTTTCCACCTTTTCAGTGTCTGCATTGAAATTCGCCCAT